ATATATATATATATATATATAACAATTTTAACAAATCATAATGAGCAAAGCAATATTTCATTTTTTATTTATTATTAAATAATTTATGAAATCAGGAAATAATAACTATCAATTTTCAGAAAACTTGATTGCCATGTACATTGAAAACAAAGCAGAAACAAAGAAGTACGAGTATGTTACATTCAAATGCTTTGTATTTAAGATTTGTGTCTATATATCTACACACGCGCGCGCGCGCGCACACACGCACACACACAGAAACACTGCGTTAAATCGAAAAATATTTTAGACAAAAGTTTTGTGACTTCGAGGGGGACATCAGATGGTATTATTGGTTTGATTTTGAGTGGTATTGTCAAGGTCAGGGTAAGGTCATTTTGAATTTTTTTAATGGATCCCACATTTTTCATTAGATATTCTTTTGTAGCTTACCTCGAGAATTTTTTAAAACTCTATAATAAAATATCTTTTCATTAAATACTTTAAAGTCAATTGTATCTCTTGTTTTTATTTCTACGTAGATATGAATTTTTAGTGCAAAAATGAAATAAAAGGAGCAATCTCCAATGACTTTGATCTTGACAAATGTTATCCAGGTCATGATACTGAACAACATTCAAGAAGTTTTAACCATCAGACACCTTGACGCTAATGTAACGTAACGCTAATGTTGGCGGTGCTGTAACTTGCAAGCTTTATAACTCGAAAAGTATTTAATGAAAATGAATTTAATTATAGTGTTTTGGAAAGCTCTCGAGTACCGCGTACCGCGCTTCACGTAATCACACCTTTACTGCCATTGAGCAAGATAGAAACTGTGGTCAAAGTTTCGCTACAAATGATTTGAAGCGTTCAATGGACCAATTTGAAGAAAAAATTTTGCAAACTAATTAAAAAACGCTTCAAAGCGTTTATAGCATCGCGTTGACCAGAAAAATACTTCTGTTGTTTAAGATGGAATCACATGATGCGGAATAGGACTGACGGAATGCATATTATTGAAGCAACCAATCAGCGTTATTCCGCATTTGATGTTGCGAAATAGAGAGTGCGTCAGTGGCCTAATCATAATATAAGTACATACAGTATCGACACTGAACTTTTTATGTGGTTTCCAATTTGTGCATGCGTCGATTTCCACTCAAGAATGTGGCTGCCTTCAGCAAGTTGAAATTGCAGGTTAAGTTAAGTTAGCTAGATTTCCTTTCCATAAAATATAATTAACCCTTTCGCCTACAATATTGTGTGAGACTCGTGATAAGGAAATTGGGCTAAACATGAGTATCAGTTTGGGTGAGAATCGTGGTACATCCTTCGTACAAAGCTTAATTTTTTTTTAATTTGTTAGAGAAAAGTATAGCAAAAAGTTAATAAAATTTGATTTTACTAAAAAATTAAATCAAATTTTTTTGGAGACGATATATATTGTGTAGACTGTTATATTTGTATATGATAAAGTATTCTCATAATAAAGTATGCATGTGCATGCGTGCTTACGTACGCGCGCGCGCGCGCGCGCGTGTGTGTGTGTGTGTGTACGTATATTATTAAATTACAACTTTATATTTAATTACAATTTTCATGCAATATATTATTTTTTCATACATAATTATTTAATTACAATTTTCATGTAGTATTTAATTAATTATTATTTTTAATTTACTTATTACTGTTTAATATTCTTATTATTATTAATGTAAATATTATTTTTATATAATAAGTTTGTTAACATTATATTATTATATAATTCTGATCTAAAAATATACTCGCTATAAACAATTTTCATGACACGATCGAATTATGTCTTTTTTTTTTAGAAAAATCATTCTGTAGCTTTATAAAAACTCAAATTTATAAGTGCCTTTCCAACTTTCAACATGGCGGGGAGTCATGTGACCTGGAACCCACTACATCAAAGGTGCGCTCAGTGTCCATATTGTATGTACTTATACCACAGTACAGTAGCGCAACTCTCTGTCGGCACCTTTGATGTTAGTGTTAGCCAAAATGGAGTGCGCATGCGTGAAATAAGCAAGTTACTTAGCGTTGCCATGGTTACCACCTAAACTTCTTTCTCTTTTCATCCTTTTTCGCTCTGTCAAAACTCACTAAATTTACTCGCGCCGCACTCCAACAAATGCGTTGGAGTGAATAAAAGTTATAGGAGCATTTTATAGAGCATGCAACGTGTACAAACGAATAAACCTACTATTACAATGAAATAATCTGAACTTAATGAAAATTAATAAAAATAAATTAACATATTGAAAAATAAAGAGAAAAATATTAGGAAAAATATTAAATTAATTGAAAAATGTATATTTGTATAAAGAAATATTATGTAATTATATATCTATAAAAATGTTATAAGAAAGCTGAAAGATATAAAAGAAATTTATATACATATATGTTCAAAAAATAAATTTAAAATACAATAAATAAAAAGAAATCCTTTTTATTCGATTTTCTATGTTACTTTTTAATCACTTTTTCACTTTATCACTTTTTCACAAAAATTAGACCAATCTCTCGAGATTTCTCACACAACATTTCACCAAATGGACAATACACGTAATACTTTCTTCTAAATTTCTACTCTGAACCATATATGTTTGAAAGACAAATATTTAAGTGAAACATTGAAATGCTTATTTAAATAGAGAAAGAAAGAGAGAGAACAATAAAAAGGGGAAGAAATGAGACGGAGCAACTTGCTTATTTCACGCGCACTCCATTTTGGCCAATATAAAATCAGAAGAGTTGCGCTACTGTATATACTGTGCTTATACAATAGGTGCATCCAGAAGCACGACCGCTTATTGAGCTTTAGTATTGATTTATATTTTTAGATGGAATATGCCAATCAAATGTAAGAGCTCACTGAGCGCTCAGGGAACGGTCATGCTTCTAGATGCACTTTAGGACTCTGCTTTTTTTTCTGCGATTGTGATTGGTCTCTCTGTTTTGTTTCTGTAAATTTCCGCTCATAGGACGCCAACCTATGGATTCCGCTCAGAAAGCGGAAAAAGAATCGATTCTCGAATAATCGAATCAGAATCTCGCATAACTAGTTTCTAGTCTCGACCACGCACTTGCAAGCTCAAGCTCGATCGTTTTTATCATTTCGTGTAAAAACACGTTGAATGAGCCGTATTTTACGAAGTTCGGAGATGAGAAAGGTTAACTGAAAAATTGAATGATAACGTCAACTGTGTTTTCGAAGCAAAATGAAACATCAAAAGAATCGCGAAGTGACGTGGACCATTCTAGAACTCAGAGGTCTCCTAGAAGACGAGGATTCTCACGTGCACTTTGCGAGGACCATCAAGCACGTTGCATTACATCCATATCACTTGAACAATATTCAGCGAGGTCTAAATCAGATTTTAAGATCGTTGTTGAATACTTACGACAGAGAGTACGCATTTATCTATATGTATATATGTATAAAATATCCATCCAAGTACTAGTCTATACACCCTACTGTCTACACGACAGATTTTCTAACCTCAACAACAACAGTATAATTATCGAAGTGCGCCTCTTTGCAGGGGATGAAGGGGGGATGAAAGTCGGGGGTGAGAGTCATTTTGCGTGGAAAATCAAAATTCATGTGGAACAGTATAATTATAGACCCATTTTGTTTCTGTGACAGATTTCCTAACCTCAATTATCTTTAACGCTTAATATCTTGGCTCACAAGGCAGAGTGACGCTTTTTTTGTCAGATTCTTTCGTTTCATGCAAAAACATCGAATAAGCCTAATTTCATTAAAATTGGTAAGCAGGACACAATTCTTGAGTATTACCAAATATATTTCTAAAATTTAAATGTCTCATTGTTAGTTTATTATTATAATTTGGGTAAATGTTAAGAAATCCCTGGCTACTTCAAATTTTCTAAAGAATACACTCAATTGATGCATAAAAATAAAGATTTGACAAGAAAAAAGCGTCGCTTTGCCCCATGAACTAAGATGTTAATCGTTAAAATCAATGGCTATTCAGGTTAGGAAATTTGTTATAGCAATCGTTCACTGCTTTAAAAACACAAATTCTCTGCATTAAAAGCAAATTTTCTGCTAAAGCAATGAATTTGTTTTTAAAACAGTGAATTTATATTTTTAAAGCAGTGAATTTGTGTTTTTAAAGCACTGCACCACTGCTGTGACGGATTTCTTAACTTGAATAGTTGTCGACTTTAACGATTAATATCTCGGTTCACAGAGCAGAACGATTTTTTGTCTTGTCAAATCTTTGTTTTTACATGAAAACGCATTGAGTTTTAAGGTGGCCGAAATCTTCTTAATATTTAACAAAGTAATTTTACATTTTAGATTGAAAGGATTTGTACTGGCTTTTAAAAATCCTAAATTGCTTAGCAATCTGGGAGAATTGTTTTATGATTCTCCTTTTATTCATGTCAACATTGAAGCAGATTTCTATCTGTTCCGTCCAAAGACTGGATTTTTTCTGAAAGGTAAATTATTTTCACTAATTACATACTCCATCAACTGATTTCTTGAAGAAAATTAACTTCCATTAATGGATTAACTTCCATTTGTGAAATCCTAGCATAATGTCCATATTTTTTTTATTGGCTAAGTGCCAAATAAGTTTTATATGATATTCCATAGTATTTATTACAAATGAGATTTTTATTTTGAAGAAGTTTTATATATATTTCTTAAATTACTAGTAGTAAAACATTATTGAATAATTCTTTGGTATGAAGATAAAATATTTATTAATAACAATATAAATGGATTTTAAGGAAATATATGTATATATACAGGATGTTTGGAAAATAATGATAAATCTTTTGCATAGGGGCAGAATGGACTAAACTGAGAAAAAAGTCCTCTATCATTTTGCAATTTTTTTACAATAGTTAATAAGATATTGTTTGCTAAAAAAATTGCCAAAAATTGGTCTTCCATAATTTTTTATTCAAATACTAACTTTACAAAAAAATTGAAAGAAAAATTTTCTTCTCATAAAATTCTAAGAATTTTTTCAGAATTTTTTCAGAATTTTTTAGTATCATATTTTCTCATGTTAATAAAAATGAGAAAATGCAGTACTAAAAAGTTGATAAAATCTGAAAAAATTTATAGAGTTCTATGAGAAGAAAACAAATAATTTTTGTTTTTTGCAGTTTTTCTATAAAGTTGATAATATAATATATTAAGTAAAACATTATTGAAGACTAATTTTCGACAATTTTTAGCAGTTAATATCTTGTCTACTATTGCGAAAATTGCAAGTGGTAGAGGACTTTTCTTTACAGTTTAGTACATTGTGCCTTCATGCAAAAGATTTATCATTATTTTCCAAACATCCTGTATATACATACACTCACACGCAAAAAAAACGGGCCACTAAATTTTTGCACAAATTTTTAATATCTTCAAATAGCAATAACTCAGTGAAAAATTATCGTAGTGATGTTTAAAAAAGTCTTTTAAATCTTGAAATCTCTACTATTCAGATCAATACTTTAAAATAGAAAACAGTCTTACTGATTTCTGTATCTATCATTGTTTTCGAAAAATCATAATGTATTATTTAAAATAGGATACCCTCTATATATGTAGATGATAACTAATATTATGTTGCAGGTATAGTGACTAAGAAGAGCCTGGACTATATTGTAATGCTGGTACACAAAATATATACCGTATCTATTCCGAAACCAGATAATACAAAGCAATGGTTAGGTGAGTCAGTGGAGATTGGTCAGGAAATAAGATGTTGCGTCACTCAACTACATCATAAGAGCAAACCTCCTTTCATCTGCGCCAGTTTGAAATCCGATTATTCGCAAGGTTGTAGATTGTCAGAAAACATAATTAATATCGATATGGACAGTGCAATTGAAAGTACAAATAACTCTATGAAGATTGACATTGATGGAATATTGGAAAATGATGGTATCTCTGAGAAAAAGAAGAAAAAACAAAAAAAACACCGAAAAAAACACAAGTTTCAGGAACAGAATTCAGAAGTCGTTTGTAAAATTGAAAATGAATCAGAGTCGAACATAGAAAGCAATATTTCTACAATTATTGAATCTGAAAAGAAACGGGAATGTATTTTATTAAACATTGGTGTGGACAGTGCAACTGAAAATACAAATAACTCTACGAAGACTGACATTGATAGAATATTGGAAAATGATGATATTTCTGAGAAAGAGAAGAAAAAACAAAAAAAACACCGAAAAAAACACAAGTTTCAGGAACAGAATTCAGAAGTCGTTTGTAAAATTGAAAATGAATCAGAGTCAAACATAGAAAGCAATACTTCTACAATTATTAGATCTGAAAATAAACAGGAATGTATTTTATTAAATATTGATGTGGACAGTGCAACTAAAAGTACAAATAACTCTATGAAGATTGACATTGATGGAATATTGGAAAATGATAGTATTTTAGAGAAACAGAAGAAAAAACAGAAAAAACACCGAAAAGAACACAAGTTTCAGGAGCAGAATTCAGAAGTTGTTTGTAAAATTGAAAATGAATCAGAGTTGAACGCAGAAAGTAATACTTCTACAGTTATTAAATCTGAAAAGAAACAACAATGTATTTTATTAAATATTGATGTGAACAGTGCAACTGAAAGTACAAATAACTCTATGAAGATTGACATTGATGGAATATTGGGAAATGATGATATTTCTGAGAAAGAGAAGAAAAAACAGAAAATACACAGGAAAGAACACAAGTTTCAGGAGCAGAATTCAGAAGTTGTTTGTAAAATTAAAAATGAATCAAAGTTGAACATAGGAAGCAATACTTCTACAATTATTAAATCTGAAAAGGAACAGCAATATATTTTATTAAATACTGATGATTCTTTAAATAATTTGGAAGTCGATAATATCTCTAAGAAACATAAGAAAAACAAGAAAATATCTAAATCACTACTTAATAATGAAACAATTTTGGACGAACTTACCGAGTCACGTAAAGCTGCAAAGAGAAAAAATTCTATTCTATTAGATAATATTACTGAAACAAAGACGAAAAAGGAAAAGAAATGTGAAGAAATCTAAAGAATCTGATTCGGAATTTATATTAATAAAGAAAACGAAGAAGAAATAATTAATAGTACAAGGAATATTATTCCCTATCTTAAATGTGAAGAAAAACAACATATGCTTAAGAAGCATATTGTTATTAAATGTCAATACTTTTTAAAATAATTTAGAAAGTAGTATATCTATAAAATATAAGAAAAGCAAGAAGCCACTTATAATGTCAAATTCAGAATCAGAGACTCATATTGTTAAAATAAAGACTGAAAAATAAGATCCATAAACAGAATTATTAATGAAAGAGCAAAAAGCCAAACATCATGTAACGAGACTCAAGTCGTACAAAATTTGAATGAAACTTTTGAAATGTCTAAGTTTATGAAAAAAGAAAATTTCATTAAATGACACTTAAAAAAAAAAGGAAAAGAGTTCTAAGAAATATAATTCAAGAGACTCACGATCTATCAAAATTAAGAAAGAATATGAGATAATCAGTGATGTCCGTAACTTCGGATAAGGAAAGGAAAAAAAGTCTTCAGAAACATGCAATTGTGTCAAGAGATTTAGATTTTAAATTTAAAATTAAAAGTGAAAATACAACGAACGATATAAATGATATTTTTCGAATGATATAAATGATATTTTCCGAACAATTAAACACGATTCTGAAGGATCTCGATATGAAGTATCAATATATCAGCAACAGATATGACTCAAACAATTTAGATTTTAATTATGTACCAAAAAAATTAAAAAAAAAAGCGCTTGTAATATTATCAAATTGGAAATTAAAATTTTTCATTAAAATTGAAAAAGATTGAATTAAAATTTTTATAGAACTGACTTTTAAGTATCTTAAGACTCTTATCCATGTAATAAGAAAAATGCACTAAATGGAAATGTACAGAAACATATATGTTTATATTTGTACGACTAGCGTTTAATAAAATTATCAAATAATAAAACGAGATAACTATGTATAGAATTAGCAACAGCATATATATAATAGGAAATAAAAATATTTTATTTGCAGATACAGAATATTGTACCGTATATATAGGCCGGTATTCATAGTCAGTTCTTATATTCAAGACTGTCTTAAGTTCAGTCTTAAGATGTCACAAACCAATGAGAGAGCCGCATTAGCATCTTAAGACATTACTTAAGATGGTCTTGAAATAAGAATCGACTATGAATATCAGCTATAATGTAATTGTCATGTACTTCGTGGAGTAATGACCGCAGCATAGGCATAAGGGAATTAACCAATTGAAATTCTTTTTTTCTATGAAATAGGAGGAAAGGGAAGATTCTGATTAGTTGATTTGCTTATGCAAGAATCTATGCTGCGGCCATTAAATGGGGAGTATAGACTCTTACATAACGCATAAAACATGAAGCATAAAAAATCAACATAGAGTCTTTTATTTCATGAAAAGAAGGAAATAAAGGATTGATTAGTTTCTTATACATTATGTGTTATGTATATATAGTTTGAAGTCGCCATGAAACTGCATCGCGATTAATGTGATAATGTGCACAACATGAGTTTCGATTTTTCTGGAAATCTAAACTCTTCGCAATGTTCTCTTCTAATCGTTGAAAAAATAAACCATGATTATAAACAAAACTCAGGTTATATACACTCGAAAACATTCGAATTTAACGACTCTCGAGGTGCTCGCGCATTATGGCTCCGACACACCAACGCGATGTTAATCGCGCGACACACGATATCCAATTGATAAAGCTGCACTTATGGGTCCCTGCACATTGGGCGTGGAACCGCTTGCCGCGCAGCAAAATAAGACGCGGTAACCAATGAACACATTAGAAGCTGAAGGCTTATTGGCTATCGCATCACAATTTGCCGTACAGCAAGCGTTTCCATGTTCAGTGTGCAGAAACTATTATTGGATATCGCGTGCGACGAACATCGCGCTAGTGTGTCAGAAGTATACGAATGAGGTACTCGTAACTGTGACGCAATCTGCGTCGCGTCACCACATCAACGGTTCGCTGTCTCACCAACGCGTGGCAATTCAACTTCTCGCAATTAAATCAGTGATTCGCGAATCACGTTCTGCGACAAGAAGTCCCCTCAAATTTTATAATTTTGAGAACTGGAGACTGATAGTCATTGTTCTGTCATTGTTCAGCCGACTGCATAAAAATGCGGATTTCGGCAGCCTTTTTTACTCTCTTTCCTTTTGTTTCTCTTAGTTGTTCGCCGCCGAATTAATCGTCTTTTAGAAAATCCGCCGCGTCAGAATTTGTGAGCGCATTCCGTGATTTCGCAGTCGCGCCGAGAGTTCGGAATTGTGGTTCAGTCTCATCACCTGTAATAGTTTTAGTTAAACTCTGTTAACACGGTTAATATTAATAAAAACAAATACTTAAGTTGTTTTGTTTTCAAGTAACAGTCAGTTTTTTTGTTCGCTTCAAGATCCTTCTTGCTCACTCATTCCCAAACAATAGTTTTGGTCTGTGCTCACTCATCTTCAAACAATAGTTTTGGTCTGTGCTCCCCGTCTTACCCCGGATCTACAATAGATTTTTAAGCCTTAAGTCATAAGGAATGGACAAATCATAGGATGTGGTCCATTTGACGCTACAAATGCTTCGAAACTTTTGATTAACCAATCGAAAGAAAGAATTTTACTGACTGACCAATCCAAAAATGCTTCGAAATATTTGTAGCGTCAAGTGGACCGTAGCCACAATCATTTAGGGTGAAATCACATGGTGCGGAAAAGGGCTGCGGAATAAACAATGTGTCATTGAAACAACCAATCAGCGCTAATCCGCCCTTTTCAATTACCCAAGTATGCTATAATATGTTCACATGATGCGTCGAAAATGTATTCAGCATAAATATAATTTAAGAACTACTTAATTTTATGTTCATAATTTGCTTATTAAAATAAAATATAAATTTTTAAATTGTAAAGCAATTATCACTGTGTTGTAATATTTATAATATTTTACAATTAAATATCTGCAATTTCGTAACAATTTTTTGGACTGCTTTAAAATCACACGATCCGGAATAGTACTGCGGAATACAGAATGCGTCATTGAAGCAATCAATCAGCACTCAGAATAGCGCTGAGTGATTGTTTCAAAGACGCATCCTCTATTCCACAGTCTTATTCCGCACTGTGTGATTTCACCTTAAGGCTTAAAACACCTATTATAGTAAAACATCGGATTTCGACTTGGAGATTTAGTTGACTTGAATTTAAAACTCTAAAATTGTACACTTGATTGATAGTTTCTTTTGATCTTACTTCTCAATTTTTTTTTATTAGCACTTTAAAATACGAAGCGCCTACCGGTCCGAATATTAAGATGTTGAACTACTATATAATATATACTCATTTAAATTGAATTAATTTTTAGAAATAATAATTGCGTGGCGATAAGATTATCGGACATTCACATTCACAATCTGAAACAAATAATCCCCCCAAAAATTTCCCAAATCTTAAAAATTGTAAATATTGCCTCAGCCGGGAGTCGAATCCGGATCATTTTTCATTTCTCTCTCGTTCTTTGAATTTAAACCTTCCCTCTCCTTTCAAAAAACTTCGTAGTCGTTAATCCTTGCCTCTTTAGAGATCGCACGTGGTCCATTCCCCAGTTAAAGATTAGATTCCTTGACTTGAAATTCGGACCGACAATCGCACTGTTCATAGGGAATAGGTATCATAGCGTCTTTACGGGACGTTGACTCACATTCCGAGGCGAGCATAAAAGGGTGCGTTCGACTCGCAGTCTTCACTGTGCGGATCCTTCCTTTTCTTTTCTTTATTCTCTCTTTTCTTTAAACCCATTTCCGAAGTTTGGACATAACAATATTTTACTGTTAAAGAAGTTCTAATGTTTATCAGTTATATACATTATTATATTTACATTAAAATACTATTTTTATTATTACAAGTATTGTAAATAACATTAAAAAATATGATATTATATTATTCTGCGTGTTCCGCTTCTGCTTATTCCGCTCAATGAGAGGATTTAGGAAAATCGTAAGAAGAAAGAAAACGGAATTCCTGTGATTTGTTGTGTTGATTCCATGAGTTTCATTTTGTTGCCAATTTCCACTCTATGAGACGGCACCCTGAGGATGCTATTACATGAAGCGCGGAAATGCGGAAACGCGAAAGACAAAATTAACTAAATTTTACTAAATTTCCCGCCTTTCCGCGTGTTCTGTTCTGCCTATTTTCTTCTAATATTATATGCAATACAATTTCAGCGAATAAGCGGAATGGGGAATTAGAAATTATTAATTTTTAACGGTATTTATTGATTAAAATGCTTGTATTCAATACATCAGCTGAAAAGATAACCATATTGATAAATATTACAATGAATTAAGTAAATACAATTTTTTCAAATATAATAAATACAAAGTGTATTTGTTACTATATCGTTCCGCTTTTCCGCGGAAACTGTGCTTCATACAATATTAGGAGATTAAAACAGGCGGAATAAAACACGCGGAAACGTGAAAATTTAGTAAAGTTTAGTTAATTTGTCATCCGCGTTTCCGCGCTTTATGTAATAGCACCCTGAGGGTGCGCTCCCGTGAGATGCAGAACTGCGAATATGCGGAACTGCGGATCGTTCGTGATTGGTCGTGGCTTCCGCCGTTTTCTGATGCACAAATTTATTTCTTTTGTGGATTCCGCCGATGCTTGCATGTGTGCATGTGCACACATTCGGTAAATAACAAGAATGGAGTGATACCTGGGTAGCACTCGGGTGAGAATCTGAACATAACTCTGAAAATAATTTAATTAAGTCTCCAGATAAATATAAAGGTTAATATGGTCAGAATATGTATGTCATATATGAAGTATACAAGAAGGCGAAAATTAAAATTAAAATAAGTACATAAAATGAAGTCGGGGCAATGTTTCTGTATGTATAATATGTGTGATTTCCAATCCGCAGGAATTCATTTTCCTATGTCCCATTGAGCGAATTTGCGGATGTGCAATCAATGCGAATCAATGATAAACGCTATTCTGGTAGATTTAATGAAATTGATTTACAGGAAAACTCTTGCGATTGAGTAGAGTTAATTGAGCATTTCCCAAATTCCGTTAAATGAGATATAGGAAAACACATTTTAGCGGAACGAAATCAGCGGAATAAAGCCATGATCAATCACAAATGTTCCGTAG